TCTATAGCCTGTTTTTGATAATGTATATATTGTAAATGTCTATTTTGTGTACATTTAGATTTTTAATGTATTTGCTGTTACTTTTCTATGTATTTGTTTTGATATTGTATTGTTTTTATCTTGTTTTAACTGAGAATTTTCTATTTGTTTTTGTATTTTATTGATCTTATTTGATCTTATTTTAATGATTTGTTTGGATGAGCCCATATTGACTCTGTTGTTTTATTTTTAATTATTATTGCTCAAACTAGGCTTTTCTGTGTGAAAAACAGATTCTTGTTTTTACAGAGCTTCCTTGAACGTTTCGCGCTGACCGATGAGAGTTCACATCTCGCGGGATTACGCCGCCCCTGCGCTGCGCTGAGCGCCTCTCGGCTCAGGTCTCGCGGTGTTTGCTCGCTGACGGCGGTTGGAAATGGAGTCGGAGGGGGCGGGGTGCAGCAGGAGGGAGCAGAGATGTTTGGAGGCTTTTTTTTAATATAAAATTATTTATTTAAATAAAAATGGCCGCCGTGGAGAGCGGAGAGGAGAGACTGTAAGTGGGTTTTTACATTTTATCCTCCGTTAACGCGCCGCCGCCGCCGCCGCCTCCGACGCGCGATCTGTTTTTCCGTCGTGTGTTTTATTGAGTAAAAGTGCGTTGGTTTTTACCCCGGCCTGTTCGGCGGAGCGGGGTTAGCGGGAATACGTCACCAACTTACTGCTAAGTGTGTACCTTTAGGCGGAGCCGCCTGGCTGCTTGTAGCTTGCAGCCCGCTCTCAGCGTCGCCGCCGGGCCGCAGGATTACACACAAGCTGCACGGGGAGGGTGAGGCCGGGGGTCGGCGCGGTGGTGACGGTCAGTAACCGCTGGAAGGCCCGGCATTGCGGCGGAGTGTCGGCCCGCCTCCGTCAGGACCGCCAGGAGCTAAAGGTGCTAGTGGTTAGCAAACAGAAGTGTTTATATCAGAAATAACCCGGGGTTAACCCCCCCCGCCCCCCCGTATACCCGCCCCCTCCGGCAGATCGGTTAATCACATTATTACCCTCATTATTACCCTCATTAGCAGGAAGCTACCCCAGTGCCGCTGAGCCAGGCAGCTGTGTGTGTTTGAGGCTGGAGTCGAACCTGTGGACTGTGTGTTACAGGACCACTGTTTATCTGGAGGGGTGGGGGTCACTTCCTGTTCTGCTGATTCACCTCACCTGAGCTTCATCAACACACCACACACACACACGGGTGGGGGGTCCAAGCTGAGGGTCGAGACCCCGACCAGGGGCCGCCGGGTGAATCTGAGGGGCCACGAGGCAGAACTGTACTTTATGGACTTTATTATTGTTATTACTTTATTCTGTCGTTTACTTTGTAGGAGAGTAGAAGAGTTTATTCTCTTTTATTTTTATAAGTTATACAAAAATGTAATTTTCACTTCCTCCAATTTCACTGCAAAACAATGTCTAGTAAAATTGCAATTGTTTGTGATTGATCTGTGTCCAATAGATCAATAACTAATAATCAGATTCAACCTGTTTGTATAAACAAGTACTTTACGATGGACTTATGTATTGATTTTTTGTCTTCAGTCTTCACATTTGGTTTAACAAACAATAAACACATATTGGAAGTCAATATTTTTGTTTGATAATTGATTGTTTATGAATAATCAATGGACTGATTGTTTCAGTGATGTCACTGAACAGCTGATTATATTATATCAGAAACCTCCTGTAATCAATTAATACACAAATTAACCACAAATCGATTCAAAAACATAAAATATAAAAAATATCAAACTTATTTATATATAATATATATTTAATTATTGTTTTTGTTACTGAAACACAAAAGGCCGAAACAGAGCGTAAACATCACTTCCTGTTTACAGCCGCAGTGGTTGTAAACAGGAAGTGATGCTGCTGGTTTCAGACTCATTCAGAGACTGAAACCTGGATCTGTTTCAGTCCGCCACCTGTAACAACTTCCTGTTGGTGCGTTCAGGGACGCCGCAACACTTCAGAGCTCAGCCATCGTTTTAATTCATAATGTTAATTATAATATATAATATAATAAAGTATTAGTCTGAGCTTCATAATAACAGATCAATAATATCAATTAACTTCCCTTTAAGTGGCAGAAGCACGCCTACGTCCCCGGTTCGATTCCAGTGAGGACTTTGTTGCTTTAATCCCCCTCACGCTCTCTGTCTGTTTCTCTTTGTCTGTCTACAGCACTGACCTAAGCCCTGTATCTACAGCACTGACCTAAGCCCTGTATCTACAGCACTGACCTCTGTAACTTTGATATTATTGTTGAAAATGTTAAAAAATGGTCGGAGCCCTGACAGCTTTAGCCTTACGAAGACCCCGAACCCTCTCGCCACAACAGCAGCTCGCCTTCTCAGTGTCTGTTTTTATGATCCGGAGTCTGCACAAGGTGTTTTATTTTGAAAATTGACAGGATTCTCTATGCTGTTCCTGTGTCTGACTTCCTTTTGGCTTCCGTCAAAAATATTACAGTGAAGTGGAGAGCCGCCTATGGGATGCTTCTGAAACACACTGTGGTGTGTCCATAGGGATGCACCAATATATCGGATGATAGTCGCCTTTTCCCGTGCTGTCCGTCCGTGATTAAGAACACCACATAATCACAACGTCCGTGGTTTGATTCCAGCTGAGACTTTTTTACATTAATCCCCCTCACGCTCTCTCTGTTTATCTACTGTCACTATCAAAATAAAGGTAAAAATATATCTCAAAGACAGAGAGGTGGTTCCACTTTGTGCTAACGTACTCTTTAATGTCTGATATCTCGACACAAAATAGTTTGTGTAAAGAGTGAGAAGAGAAACTGACCAATCACAGCTTGAGTTGGGGCGTGGTTGAGTAATGATGTCATCTCTTTTCTACAGGGAGGAGGGGCAAGAGGGTGAGGAGGGACCCGTTGACCCCCGGTCCCCTGCCAGAGAGAGAGACCGGTCCCACAGTAAGACCAAGAAGGCCCGCCGGGAGCGTCGTCATGCTGACCGGGGGTCGGAGACCACAGCCGCGGACGTGCCCCCGACAGCCACGCTGCAGCCACAGACGGGGGCGGAGCCACAGACACAGGTAAAGACAGATCAACCAGAACAGGTCCCATTACACAACTTCCTGTCTAATCTGGTGGTTTTCAGCAACGGGGGGTCACACACTACAAGATTGATCACTAATCAATACTCCCATT